TTTTTAACGATAATAACGTTTTTTAACTTTAAATCTTTTGTTTTAGCTTTATTTAATCCGTTTAAAGCTCTTTTAAAAACTTTAATACTTCGCTCGACGATTAAAAAGCTATTCGTTTCAGCTTCGATGAAGTCGATTAAGCGAAAGCGTTAAATTAACTTTAGCTTTAAAAGATTCTTATCGTTAATAAAGTAAATAGCGCCGCAATTATCGAAAAGAGTGCTATTAAATAGCTAATGCTTATTATTAGCCGTGCTATAAAAACCGTTAAAAATAAAATTATCGAACGTATTAAAGAGCTTAAGATCGATAATAGCTATTAACACTTTTTTAAAGTATTTTAACTTATCGCTATTATTCGATTGCTTTTCTTTGCTTTTTAAAACGATCTTATCGATTTGAATCTATGCTTAACTTTTTTTCGTAATCTCTTTTTAAAGCGCTTTAAACTTAAGCTCTTAAAGCCTTTTCTTTATAACGACGATATCATTTCGGTTCGGCTTTACGAATCTACTTTCGTTAAGACCGTTAAAGCAATAGCGAAAGATTTTACATTTGATTGCGTCTTAATAATAGTTTCTCTTTTTAAAGCACGAGCACTTAAAACCTTTAGCAAGTCTTTTAAAGCTATCGGAGCGTTTACCGGATTGCTTAAAAGCAATGTCGTTAGCTTTATTACTTTCGAAAGTATTACGAGTAGTTTAATCTTCGAAAGTAGCGAATACGCTAAAAAAGTTAAAGTTCGAATTGCTAGTCTTTTCTTCGACTTAGCTTTCGTACTAATTAAAGTAATCGTAAAAGGTGTGCTTTTAAAGCAATAATAGCTCGTCGTTTCGAATGACTTTTACGAGCTTTAGCGACGCTTAAATTAATGATTATTTTTCGCTAATAACTTTTAAGAATACTTTCGTCGCGAATATACTCGTCGTTTCGTAAAAGTTGTTTATTTTCGCTAATTTATAAATAGCTCGGTGTTTTTTAATTTATACTGCTAAAAAGACGCTCTTTTGCTTAATTGCTTGCAAAGATTTATTATAATCTCGTGCTATCGATAGCTTAAAGCTCGAATCGAATAAACGATATATTTTTTAAAGCTTTTTTATTAAGAATTAAATAAAAGTATTATTTTCTTTTAAAGCCGTTAAGATCGCTTTTTCGAGAATAAAGCTTTTAATCGTCTTTTTAATTTAGTCTATGATTTAATTGCTTTTATTACTTAAGACCTTTTAGTTATTTATAGCGAAGTTGTATTCTTTTATATTGTCGTTATACGCTTTTCGAACGTCTTCGAATTTAGCGTCTTTTAGCTTTAAAAGTTTATTAAGATCGTTTGCAAGAGCTTTTAAGTGCAGTTCTTTTTAAGCTTTTCGTTAGCGGTCTTATTCTTAAAACTATTCGTTATTAAGCTTCGTTATTATCTTTATAGCAGACTTCGTTTTTAATTTGATTTGCTCGATAAAAAAAGTAAGTTCTTTTACGCTAATACGAAGAAATGCGTATTGTTTTATACTAAAGCGCTTAATAAAGTATTTATAATTTATAATCTATTTTAAAAAGTCGCTACAACTTATAAAGTTCGTTTTATTAATTAAAAGAACCTTTTTTACTTTGTCGTTTATTATTATAGCAATTGATTTTATAATTAAAGCTTTTAAAAATTAATTAAAGTTCTTAAAAGTAGTAAGTATTAATTGTAAAGAATAAATATAATTAAAAAAAGACAGATTGCAAAAATGAAAGTTATAATAAAATAACGTTAAAGTAACTTGCAAAATCCGCTCTCGATTAATTCGAAAGTTATTAAAAACTAACTGAATAGCTCGTAAGTGCGAATGTAGCTCTTAACTATAGTGCTTATTAGCATTAAGATCAAGAAAAGATTTTATAAATTAAATAAAGCTTAGTATATTTTATTTAAAAAGCTCGTTAAGATCTATGTATATATACTTAAGAGCTCTAGTATGCTAAGAGCGCTATTAAGCGAGGTCACATGACATGTCACATATAGCTTGGGTGGAACTATGCCTATTCCGCACAACATAATTTAATTTAATAGAATCGTTAAGCGCGGCTAAGGCCGTTTAAGAGTAAGTGCTTTTAATAGATTAATATTTTTATGCTAACTATTAAGAGAATCTTTTATCCGCTTTAGCTATCGCTGCTGCTATAATTGCGGCGGCGGCGGCGGTTATACTTCGCACTTTTATCTTCGAACTTTCGCTTTTTTTTTTAAACCTTTTTATTAAGCGTTTGCTTATGCCGACGACCGTTAAAGCTTTAAAGTGTATTAAGTGCATTAATAATAAGATCACATCGAGGTTTAATAAAGACTGCTATAATTGCGATACAAGCGTTATACGCTATCTTCGGTATGCTAAAAGTAGCTATAGCAACTGCACTATTGCTTTTACCGCTGCTAATATCGCTTTCGATAACTTCGTAAGCGCTAAAGACAATAATGCTATATAAAAAGTTCGCCGAGGTCTCCGAGATGCTATACGATAATAGCTCGCTTTAGATATTGCTTTTTTAAAAAGTATTGTTAATAGTCCGGGCGGTTTAGCGAGTAAAAGTAAAAGTTTTAAAAGTAATTTCGATAGCTTTGCAAGTTTTGCTTTTACTCTTAAGACTTTCAATTTAAATATAGCTTTTATTAAATTAAATAGTCTTATAGCAGCGAACCGTAATCCGATAACGCGAAGCGCTTCGAGCATATCACTTCTTCGTAAGTCAAGCTTTTTAACTTACGAAATAATCTAATTCAAGCAGCTCTTTTTAATTAAAACTTTTTTTCGGACTTTATGCAAAAGCTTTAATCTGCTATTATAACAGCTTTTGCGCTTGCCGCCTTTATTACTTTCGTCGCTTCCGCAACTCTCGTCGCTTTCGTCGTACTTATTATCGTCGCTTTTCTTGCGTTAATTATTACGCTTGCTGCTTTCGCGGCGGCGCTCGCCGTTGCTATAACTCTTGCAAAGCGCCGAGCTAAAGTAAAAAGATTGCTAAGAGCTTTGGTCGATCTTTTATTATAAAAAGCGAAAAGTAAAAGCGTATAAGATAAGATAAAATAACGATTAAGATTGCTAAATAAATGTTTTCTTTTAAATTACGTGCAAATAAAATAAAATAAAATATAATAAGTAAATAGTATATACGTGCTATTAAAGCTTCTCGACGGACGCGCGAGCGTTTTATAAATTTAAAAGCTTAATAAAGCTTTTAAACTTTTATCGAGTCAGGTTTTTAATAAGACTATTAACGTGTATCTCGTTAATAAAAAGATATTGAACTTGAAAGCTCTTTTTAAAGTGCTTTTAACGCAGTTATATATTATAAATATTGTAGAAAGGAAGAGCTCCGATATATACCCAACGTTAAATTAAGAGATATATATAAATATAGCTATAATAGAATCGTAAGTGAATAAAAGAAGAAAAAGAAAACGATCGAAAAACACTCGAATATGTGCTATAAGTACGTATATTATATTATATAATAATGTGATAATAGTTCAAAAAGGAATCAACTACTCGTTTATATAAAAGCTTGCACGTAACTTAACTACGTAACTTAATTACGTGCTTAGCAAGGCTAAAGCATGCAGCGCACCCACGTAACAAAAGTGCTTAGCATCAGTACTATATATATAAACAAAACAAATACAAAGCCTTAACTCTATTATATACGTCCTTCTTTCGAATCAGACTCGCTTTCGAGTCACCTCTTATTAAAGTAATAAGGTTAGGTTTGCAAAACGAGCATATAGCCGAATAGCACGGTCGCAATATAATCTTAAAGTACTATTCAATAATACATCGCTAGATCGGTGTTAATACGAAGCGTATATAATATAATAAAAAAAATAAAAATAGCAACGAAAATGCAAGATAATCTTTCGAGTCTAACTCTTTCTTATATCTTTTATAATACTCTTATTTAATTACAAAAAACAATATCAACTCGAGCGTTAATATTATTATTAAGATAAGCGTGCGCCGGTTTAAGCGGTCAAGTAATGACGCACTACCGAATCGATAATAGCGCAAGGCTTAAAGCGATAACGTAATAAAGAAAACAAAAGCGGTAATATACACTCGAAGTCTTATTATAAACAATCAACTTTTTTCTTATATCAACCTTATACCTTTTTATCTTCTTTTTAGCATTATCACTTATCAACTTTATTTTTATTATTATATTATCGATCTGTTTTCGATGCGTAAGCTACGCAAGCAAAACTATCGATAATATTACGAGTCGATGCATCTTCTCCGCTGATAAATCTATTAAATGCAAGCGTTACCGTGTTATTAAGTCAACTTACATCTTTATAAGTTATTTTACTTTCCGTCTTATACTCGTTCTGATTCCGATTCGATAGCTTTTCGCAGAAGTCGTTAATGCCGGTATAATCTTAATAAATGCGATAACGGCTATAAATAATAAAACTAAAACGGCCGACGACGTTTTTCGTAAAAGCACGATTGCAAATAACCTCTTTATAAAGACCCGCCGTGCTCTTGCCTTTTATATTAGCGATGCTTCTTTTTTTCTTCGAGCTCGTATCGCCGCTGCTTTTCTTGCCGCCGCTAATGCTAAAGGTCTTTTAGCTAGCTTAAATCCCGTCTCGGCGTTACGTTTACTTGCCGCCGCTACTACCGCCGATCTAGCTTCGCTAGACCTTAGGCTGCTCCATGGGGTGGGGGCCCCATGGGGTTTTCCTCCCATTCCCCCCATGGGGTCTTGGCCGATGGGGGACTTTTTTTTTTAAACCCTATGGGGAGGATTTTTTTAAGTCAAATTCCCTACGGGGGATGGGGAAACCCTATGGGTTTAAAGTGGGACAGCTAAAAATAATATATGTGGGGCCGCTAAAAATAAAACAAATTTACGAATATTTACTAATTTTACTTAATCATTATATTTATTTATTATATTTATTAATCACATATGTTATACTTTACAATTACATTGCATTACATTATAATAAACTAAAATTACTAAACAAAACTTCTAGTCATGATTTCCCGCAATTTCTTAACTAACGCCATATCTTTGTTTTGAATCGTTACTCGTTTAGCGTGAATAGCATATAAGTTCGTCACTAAAAGTGATTAGTAAATCGATTAGTAAATCGATTAGTAAATCGATTAGTAAATAAATATATAAGTACTTACTTTTAAACTCTCTTACGAGGAATGCTTCTGAAGCTTTTTGTAAACATTCTAAAGCACCGCTTTGAAATTTAAAGTCTTGTTTAAAATCGTGAGTGATCTCTCGAACAAGACGCTGGAAGGGAGTCTTTTTGATAAGAAGCTCGGTGCTTTTTTGGTATCGTCGGATCTCTTTTAACGCAGTAGCTATATAAATTAGTAATTGTACTTGAGAATCAATTTATTAATTGATTGAACTTACTTCTTGGCTTGTAGCGACGGCGCTTTCGTTGGCTTAGACCTCTTTTTTTCGCAACAACTGCAGACTTCTTAAGATACTTGCCTTTTTTGGATTTTTGACGAGAAGAAGTTTTAGCTGCCGAAGGTGATTTGCCAGCTGATGGAACGGAGCGAGCAGCT